CCTTGATGGTACGGGAGCCAGATTTGTGCCAGCGCATCAGTAGCATTGTCAGCCAGACCAAGCCTCTCGACCGCCACTCGGACCCAACCCGTCTGCACGCACAGCTCCATGAGGAACAGGGCTGCTGACCTACTACTTGGCACAGGGACCATACAATAGTATACCTTGATGGTAATGGAGTCAGATTTGGGCCAGCGCATCAGTAGCATTGTCAGCCAGACCAAGCCTCTGGGCCCCACTCGGACCCAACCCGTCTGCGCGCACAGCTCCATGAGGAACAGGGCTACTAACCTACTGCTTGGCACAGGGACCATACAATAGTATAACTTGATGGTAATGGAGCCAGATTGGGGCCAGCGCATCAGTAGCATTGTCAGCCGGACCAAGCCTCTTGGCCCCACTCGGACCCAACCCGTCTGCGCGCACAGCTCCATGAGGAACAGGGCTACTAGCCTACTGCGTGGCACAGGGACCCTATAATAGTATACCTTGATGGGAACGGAGCCAGATTTGGGCCAGCGCATCAGTAGCATTGTCAGCCAGACCAAGCCTGTCGGCCCCCCTCAAACCCAACCCGTCTGCGCGCACAGCTCCATGAGGAACAGGCCTCCTGACCTACCGCTTGGCACAGGGACCATACAATAGTATACCTTGATCGTAATGGAGCCAGATTGGGGCCAGCGCATCAGTAGCATTGTCAGCCAGACCAAGCCTCTTGGCCCCACGCGGACCCAACCCGTCTGCGCGCACAGCTCCATGAGGAACAGGGCTACTAGCCTACTGCGTGGCACAGGGACCCTATAATAGTATACCTTGATGGGAACGGAGCCAGATTTGGGCCAGCGCATCAGTAGCATTGTCAGCCAGACCAAGCCTGTCGGCCCCCCTCAAACCCAACCCGTCTGCGCGCACAGCTCCATGAGGAACAGGGCTCCTGACCTACCACTTGGCGCAGGGACCATACAATAGTATACCTTGATGGTAATGGAGCCAGATTTGGGCCAGCGCATCAGTAGCATTGTCAGCCAGACCAAGCCTCTCGACCCCACTCGGACCCAACCCGTCTGCACGCACAGCTCCATGAGGAACAGGGCTGCTGACCTACTACTTGGCACAGGGACCATAAAAAGTATAACTTGATCGTAATGGAGTCAGATTTGGGCCAGCGCATCAGTAGCATTGTCAGCCAGACCAAGCCTCTGGGCCCCACTCGGACCCAACCCGTCTGCGCGCACCGCTCCATGAGGAACAGGGCTACTAACCTACTGCTTGGCACAGGGACCATACAATAGTATAACTTGATCGTAATGGAGCCAGATTGGGGCCAGCGCATCAGTAGCATTGTCAGCCGGACCAAGCCTCTTGGCCCCACTCGGACCCAACCCGTCTGCGCGCACAGCTCCATGAGGAACAGGGCTACTAGCCTACTGCGTGGCACAGGG